TACATGCGGTGGCCGTGCTGGAGCATTTCCTGACCATCAACCCGGTGAGTGAACAGCAATATGAAAGCGGCTTCACGAGACTAATGATGAGCAAATATACAACAGAGAGAGAATTAAGAATCTTTATTGGGAGAGGATCTTGACGGATTATCTACGTGACTCCGACTTCATGAGACTACAGACAACAGAGAGAGAATTCAGTTCAGCGCTTTTATTTCCAACATGCGCTCATTCATGGCTGCATATTATTTAATTCAGGCAAAGTTACGTCTTTATTGGGACAGGACTTGACAGATTATTTTACATGACTCCGTGAGTTGGACTCTATTTCTTAGAGCCAAGCTGCATAAACTACATATCAGGCATTTATGTAATGTATAATCTAATTTGTGCATAAATGGCTGTTATGTTAAATAAAGTTTACTAACTACAGCAAATCAAGTACCTGCACCATGCCGTTGTTGTCTCGTCTCCCCTCAGACGTGCTGCATTGACGATCCTGCATGCAATTCTCAAAACACCCACAAGATGGCGGCGTTTATCGGTGAATCCGATATTACAAAACCGATATCCGATTATGGTAAAATGCTTAAATATTGCTAAAAATATCGGTAAATCGATATATCGGTCGATCTCTACTGCTAACTTGTGAGTTCATGGCTATTTTTGAAATTCTTTAAAAGATTCATCTCAAAAGAATGTCCAGTGCGTAGCGGTGCAGAAAGCAGGTGTGTAGTAGTGGCGCTCCAAAGAGTTTGATAATTAAATCTCATCTTTTCTGCACCCTCCATTTCCTCTTTCCACATTTAGAGGCAGATTTGGTGAACATGAGTAATGAGAATGACAGCTGGTAGGACACTCTCTCGCAACAGCAGAGGAGGGGAACGGGGCAGCCATGTAATTTTACAGCTTGTGAAATTTGCAGAGAATTGTGGAAGATCTGTAGGAGTGTGACAGCAGGAGTCTGCAGTTGAGCTGTATTCATTTGAGGGTGTGAAAAACGGAGAGTGAGAGAGCATGGGTGTCACAAAACGTAATGAGAGCACCCCCCAACCCCCCCAAGTGGAGGCGTGAGCACAAAAGGGGCATTTCGTGGAATATCTCTGGATGAGGAGTGAAAGAAACACCCTGAAATGAGATTTAGAGAATGTAACGGCAGATGTGTTGAACACAGAACATTTCCTGCAGACTAAATATGTTCTTCTCTTATATAGTCTGTCCTGTTCATTAGACCCTGACAGAGTGATCAAGACCCCTACACAAAGCATACGTTACCCTTTCTTCTATTCATCTTACCTTTTTGCCCTCTTTCTTTTCTTACTGTCTTTGTCTTTCTTGCAGCTATGGAATCCCAACAAGCCGACCTCTCAGAACACTATGTTTGGACACATGGAACCTGTCAATCACTGCTGCTTTTCTCCTAACGACGCCTACCTTGCCACTTCATCCAGTGACGGCACCTTGAAGGTTACTTGACCGTTTCTTTGCTTTTATTTGATTTATTGTCTAGCTGTTTTACTTGCCTATTTATTTAATTTAATTATTAATTTGCCTGGTTATTTAATGGATTTGCTTTATAAAAATATATATTTTTTAAATATTTAAATTTTTAATTAATCTTTTAATTAATAAAAGCTTTATATATAAAATAAAAAATATATATGTGTGTATATATTATATAGTATCTATATTATATATAGATGAGGTTGTAGATCAAGTCTTACACACACATATATATATATATATATAGTGTGTGTGTGTGTATATACTATATTATATATGTGTGTAAGACTTGATCTACAACCTCATCTATAACATTTACATTCACATTTATAAGTGTTTCAAACTACTGGATCATCTTCGATCAGTACAGGTGTTCTCTTATGTGTTTCTTGAACTGTTGTCTTTTGTGTCTTTCAGCTGTTTGAGGTGTCATCTGCGAACGAGTGGAAATCAATTGATGTCAATAGTTTTTTCTCAGAGAGTGACGATGAAATAAAAGCCATTGTGAAATGCAGCACTTGGTCGGCCGATGGCTCACGGATCATTTGTGCTGCCAGAAACGCTGTGTTTGTAAGTGATTTTGTGAGTGTTGTTGTGAAATGAGTGGAGTTGGCATTGCCACTCAATATTTTTGATTTGGTGCCTGGAACAGCTTTTTATATATTTATTTATTTATATATATATATATATATATATATATATATTTTTTTTTTTTTTTTTTTTTTACATAAA